TTCATGTCTTCAGTTAATATAACTTTAGATAAGAAATTTAGTCAATTATATCAAATATGTACTTTTTGATTTTTTGCATCCTTTTGTCTATGTTATTTTAACTCTGGTCCTTCCTAAATGAATACATTATGGCAATTAATGCATGAACGTTGGACGTCCTATATCTAATCTATTTATCGTCTTTTTTGTGGTAAGGTAAACCGACAATGAGAAGTTAGCTGATGATGAAGAGGAAACTAAGGGGAAGTACATCCATGGTGATGTATTCAAGTACCTGAAATACAAATTTTTGTTTATAATAAATGATTGTTCAACCTTAGTATCCTTTATTATATTTTCCAACGTCCTGGATTCGAAGTTTTCTATTTACTTTTTCACTTAATTAAAAACTAATGTTTTTCATACAATTCATACATTTTTCGACCATAAATTGAATTTTCTTCTTACTAATGTATTAAGTGAACACAATAGTTTTTCAAAATACATAAATCCAACAGAAAATAAAGAAAAAAAGACAAACAATGACGATAGTAACATTTAACCTGATAACACCTATGATAATATAAGTTAAGCTCCCCACAAGTTCGTGAATAGATAAAATTACTTAATAAATAAAGTGAATAAATAAAGTTACTTACTAAATGTATTACGCATGAAGCACTCGTATTTGAAACATATGGATTAACAATCCTTCTTCCAATTTGTAAATCTAACATAATGTATTAAATTTTAGCAAATTATAAAGCAATATTTTTCAAAATCAACACGTGAACCAGTAAAAAACTAACACAGAAAACTACCAACTTTATATAAAAGCCTTTTCAGTTCTAAGTATATATCTACATGAAATAGATATTTTACAAATGACAAAAAATAGTACGTTACTTTCCACGCACAACTTTTAAACATATAAACCATCATCAATCACACACACACACACACACACACACACACATATATACACACACACGTGAAATAGATATTATACAAATGAAAAAAAATAGTGCCAACTTTCCACGCAAAACTTTTTCATATAAACCATCATTAACTTTTTCTTTCACTTTAATTCTCATCCATACAAAAAGATATTTTACAGACCAAGTGTATGGTTGGATATTAAAACAAAGATTCTTCTACTCATGTTCTATCTATTAATATCTGCTTTCGACTAAATAATTTTATGTTACTTTTACTTTCCCCTTCAGCATCAAAATTCTACAACAGTATCGTAAACATCATACTCTTCAACTACAACTACAAAAGTTTAAAAACTCCATTTTCGTTTTCGTTTTCTTATTGGTAAGTTTTACATGTTACTATCGTTTTACTATAATTATCTTTTATTAATCCACAAGAAGAACGTTAGATTATTTCATAAAAAACTTTTAGAATTAAAAAAATTGATATCATTTTTTACGATAAATTTAACGTAATATTAACAACTGTAACTATTTGTGTAATAATTTCTTC